CCCAGGGCAAACCCTCCCTCTGGCAGCAGGGCCAAGGACATCCTCCGAGGTAGCTTTCCAGGCCAGCTGCTGAGAGCCAGATCGCGCCAGCGGCCAGCGTGGCCAGCCCAGGGATGCTCCTACGCGCGCCCAGCAGAGATTTCCTGCTCATTACTGACATCTGCATTCCTCCTCGTCAGCTGCAGCGGAGGGGACCGGCCAGTCCACTCCCCCACGGCTCACCACCCACCCCCGGTGGGGCTGCTCCGGTCCCTGCACACTCCCAGCCTGCAGCCGGACCCTCTGCACAAAAGGGGATCTGAGGAGCAGCTATGAGCCCGCACACATGAGGGTTTGAAGGCAGCAGCTCCCCACGGAGCCAAGATGCTGCCTGCCAGGGCTGGAAGCGAGGCGGTGACAGGACCCACGGCCCCTCTGACCCACCTCTCGCTCCTGCCCAGCCTCCCACGGATGCACAGTGGCAGTTCATGCTCCTCATTAAGCTAATTACACACAGACTAACAGAGCAGATCCCCAGCCGTAACTCAAAGGAGGGATTCTGGCAAGGCCAGAAGGACAGAGCGGCTTGGCAGGGGACCAGGCGGGAGCTGCGGTCTGGACGCGGAGCCCAGGAGCGCACGGGGCGGGGGCACCAAGGCAAAGCCATCGCCACTCCCAGCAGCAGGGACACGCTCGCACCCAGCTCCGTGTGCACAGGGGGAAACGGTGAGTGGTTTTCACCGAGCCACCCCTTCGAAGCGTGCCCAACAGCAAAACCCCCGCACCAGTGGTGACAGAGCCTTCATTGCCAGCTCCGCTCTGAACCACACAGTGCCAAAACCAGCACAGAGAGAGGCAGGATGGTTCCCAAGGGCCAAGCAAGGATGTCTGGCTGTACCACCAAGGGAAAGGCTTCTGGCTCTGCCACAGCTTTTTGTCACTGCCCTGGTGACACTTAGGAAGCTCAGGGGAGCAGCCGCAGCATAGGCAGCTCTGGCTCCACCATGTTCTCACCTCCCATCCCAGGAGGACACAGCAACCTCACGGGCAGAAGCTGCCCAGCCGCACGCAGTCCACTGCCAACATCAGGCATGAAAGGAGATGGATAAAGAGAGGACAGGACCAGGGACATGTATTGAAGGTGAAAATCCAGCTACTGCCCCTGGCTCAACCCCTACACCCACTGCCATGTGCAGAAGCCTTGCTGCACCCTGGTGCTGACTCTTCCCTCGACATCTCCTACCAGCCACCAAACACATCCTAGGGGCAAGCGGCCGCAGCCTGACCCACCAGGGCTGCTCCCGGGTGCGAAGGAGCTGGACCCAGCAGAGCAAATGGTTCTTACCTGCTCCCCGGCTGGGGGGGTCTCTGGCTGGCGGAGGGGGGCGACTGCTCTGGAGAGAGGGGGAGGCTGAAGCAGGCGGTGGCGGTGCAAGACCCCGCAAGGGGCCCGTCGTCTTCCTGTGCAAGGAGTTGTGTCTCTGCGGCAGCTCTGGGGCGGACTCGTTGATGGGGCTGGAAGGGCCGTTGGGGACACCGGGGGGTTGCCGATAAGGGGGTGGCGGGGGAGCGAGAGACTGGCCCTGAGCCCCCGACCCGGTTCGGATACTGACTGGGGAGGGAGGGGGCTTGATGGGCG